TTACTATATGTAATCAAAAAACTATTTAATGCTTGCCTTCTAAGGGTGGGTATTATGAAACTACTTTGAGAGTTAGCTTAAAGTTAACTTCTGAAAATACATGTAATTGAAAAAGTTAACTTCAAGTTAACTGTCAAAGCAGTTTTATAATACCCGCCCTAAAGGGTACAACACCCTGCTGTCATTGTCAATATGCATAAGAAGGGCGACATTACAGATCTGAGAAATTATCGACCGATCAGTTTGCTGTCCCACGTATACAAGCTATTCATGGCAATAATCACAAAAAGGCTAGCCAACAAACTCGACCAGTTATCAACCCTGTGAGCAGGCTGGTTTTCGGTCTGGCTACGGCACGAAGGATCACCTACAAGTGATAACATCCCTAATAGAAAAATGTGTAGAATACAACAGACCACTAGTAGGTACTGATCTTTGTAGACTATGACTGTCGTATCGATCATCGTTACATAACACTCATAAAAAACATTCATGACACTGCCACAGCCCATGTTAGACTACATGCCGACACCGACAAATTTAATATAAATCGTGGAATCCGACACAGCGATACCATTTCCTCTAAATTATTTACTACATTTCTACAGTAGGTATATGTGCAAACGGACAGATTGGGATAATATGGGTATGAATGTCAATGGCGAAAATCTCAGCCACCTCAGATTCGTCGATGATATAGTTTCAATTTCTGACCGTACTGATAAAGCCACAACATCTTTTGAAAGACTTTACCAAGCATTAGGTCAAATTGGGCTAAAAATCAACATATCCAAGACCCAATTTATGACAAGTCTAGTAGTATCTAAAAACATACCTTTAGGTGACACTGAAATACAAGTGACGTCCTTTAAATACTTAGGCCATGAGATTCGCATAGGTCAATAAGATAACCAGACCTGTGAAATTTTCAGGAAATTAGGCTTGACATGGGCAGCATTTGGCAATCTCAGAGACTCATTTAGGTCTGATCTTCCTATATGTCTGAAGGATAGACTTTATAACCAATGTGTCCTGCCTGTCATGACTAAGGAGCCGAAACCCTAACATTAACCAAAAAGTCTATTAATAAATTAAGACGTAGGACAGGAGTTACAGATGCAGTAAAGAGGATAATTTCTTTAAAATGGAACCGGGCGGGGCACGTTGCGAGAATGAAAGATGAACGATGGACTAAAAGGATTATCGAGTGGAGGCCAACGAGAGGCATATCGAAGTAGAGGGCGACCCCCCAACAAGATGGACGGATTACATAATTAAAGAGAATCAGGACAAACTGGATGCAAGCTGCACAAAATAGAGAAGAGTGGCAAAATTTGCAGGAGGCCTATGTTCAGCATTGGACGTTACAATAGGCTTATTAATGATGATGATGATGAAAATATTGCAACTTCTTTTTGTTTCGGTAATGATTTTTTTGCCTCGTTCAGGAATTAAATAAAACTTGATATTGTCAAAACTCATTCCTGCGTGCCTGAATGAAGGAAACTCTTGATGCAACCGATAATAATGAAGATAATAAGTATAAATTGCAGATATATAGTGTAGTGACGCAGAAGTAAACCACCAAGAAACACCGCCAAGAATAAAATAATTGTTAATAGATCGGGTTATTTTGTTGAAAAATGAAACAAACAACAAACATAACATAAATCAAACTGGAAAAATGAAATCAAAATCAACTACAACTTACCGAAAATTAAACACCCCAGGAGACCACACAACCAGTTATAGCCGGAACTTCTATTAAAATGATCTGACCAGCGAATAAAGAAACAACAGAAACTGTAATGCCTTCTCAAAGATCCGAAAAGTGGGGGTCACTCAAAAATAGATGATCAAATTGGAATGTGTCCCTGAAATGCGGCACTTTACTAACATGACGCCATCCAGGGCCGTCTTTAGCCATCTCGGGGCCCTAGGCACTTTTAAATTTGGGGGCCCCTATCCCCATTTTTGAAAATGTCAAAAAAGGCAACAATAATTATTCGGAACAGAATTTATTTATACAGGGTGTCCACTTAGTGCGATATCGGACGATATCTCCTTACAGGGTGATGCAAGGAAAACAAATTAAATTATAAAGTTGTTTGATAGTTCGTGTCAAATGATAGTTTAAAAAAAATCTAAGCTAGGACTGCAAAATCGGTTTTCGTCTAAAATTTACCGTTTACAGCCTATCAAAGTTGCAAAAAGTCAATTTTTAACTGTCAATATCTCCAAAACATTTGAACCTAGGTATAAGGTATGGTATATCACATAAAATCTTCTCAGAATTTGACGTAGAATCCGAATATTGAATAATATACAGGGTATTCAATTTAAAATAAGAAAGTTAGAGCACGATCAGCTTTGTTGAAACACCCAGTATATGCAAAAGTGAGTTTTTCAAAAAAATTAATTTCAACCATAAATTTTTTATTTGAGACACTTTTTTCTAAAATGTCAAATAAAAAAGATAGAGGGGGGTGACATTTATAACCAATAACCCTGTACATATACAGTGTCATTACTTAAGTGTGCAAATAGGTTCCGCAAATAAATGATAGATGGTCGGACAGCACCTAGTTTATATTCAAATAATTATTATTTGAATATTATTTCATCTAATATTATTGATATTATCATTTATTATTTGAATACTTTTTTATAAAAATTAACGACGGGGCCCCCTATAACAGGGGGCCCTGGGCCAGGGCCCAGCTGGCCCATGCCTAAAGATGGCACTGACGCCATCTGTCACTGAGCCCAAATGCCCAAATGCCCAAATTCCGGGAAAGCACCATAAATCAGGCGCGTGCTGTATGTCGACAAAGAAACGGTACCGCATCCCACTAAGAAGAGGGCCGGGATGACGAAATCTTGATGTCAAAGCACTCATAAATTGGGGGAGAAATTAGGTCGAAAGAACAAAGGAAGGAAGGAGACAATTTTTATATAAAAAGCCTGAATTGCGATAAAAATAGCAGTGTCAGTTCAGAAGAAGTATCAGTCAAGAACGGTCAAAATTGTCAGTCGAGAACAGTCAGAACGGTCAGTCAAGTGTCAGATGCAGCAAACAGAGTCCAGAGTCGAAGATAGTACGAAAAGTTTTAAGGAGGCAGTGCGAAAATTTCGGGTTCATAAAGTCAAGTCGTAAAAATAACGTTTCAGTAATTACGTGTGTGCCAGTAGAATTTTAAAGTAATAAATACATCTTGTAAGTACATTTACACTGGAAGGAAATTTGTACCCTTCATAAAATAGGACAAAAAGTGGTGATAGATCACTTTAGGGACCTTCGATTTTCAATATGATTTTGATTATTACTAATAAACAAAGCAATTTCAAGATGGTTAGCGAGAAAAAAAATATGGATCCTTGAATATTTACCAAGTTATGATTTTTTTAATTTAATTTTTTTCTTTGTTGATTGTGTATCTTTGATAGGTATAGCGATATTAAGCTGATAAGAATAGATATTATTTATTGATCTGTGTCAAAGGTTGAGAAGCGAGAGGATATAAGGCATTAGTGACTAGTGATTTTTTACAATTATTATTATTTTGTTGATTTATTTTTGTTTACTTTATTAGATTTCTATTTTATGGCAAAATCAGCATATCACCTTGGTAAATATTTACAATATTTAATGTTTATGGAAAGGGTTTTTTTGAGGTTCTTTACTGGTTTTATCGATTTTTTACTGGTTTTTTACTGACATTTTGAAAATTCCTACCTAATTTGTGATTAGTTTCCTTAATTAACTTAGAAGTTGTCTATTAATGACCTGACGGTGCAATCTTTGCATTGAAGTAAATGGTCAACATTTTGAACAATTATTGTAAACCATAATTTATTTGTTAATAAATAAGCAAAATTAATAAGTAAACAGTGATTTCATTATTGCGAAGAATAAAAGTACCAAACAATTTTTTTGCTCTACAGCCCAAATGGCTCATTTGCGGACATATGTTTATGTAAACAAAAATGCTTGTTTTTTGTTTTGATGTCCCTTACTACCCTTTAAAGTTTGTCGGTATCTTTTTAGGTCACCCTGTATATTTAAATAATTATTGTTTATCAAAAAAATGAACTCATCCATATTTTTTTTTCTTCATTATGTGCTAATAATTGCTCCAATGCAAATTTGAACATAGAAAAATGGTCCGTTTTTAGGGACCTAATGTGTTCTAGACCCCAAAAAGTTAATGAATTGATAAATTTACGAAAGTTAAATAATAATTATCCCAATAGGAATTAAAACATTTTTAAGATGATATTTCATGATTAATAGTTGGTAAAATAAGAAAATTTGAAGCTAAATTTTGTAAAAGAACTTTTGTTATTGGAACACATTTCGTTATTCATAATTATTTATAACATTTTAAATTGGGATTTTTGTGATTGATAATTGAAAAAAAATTGAACTTTCTAATTTAACATTATTTTTGATAAGGCAAACTTTTGGTACGAAACTTACCTATTGGAATTTTTATAATAGAATTAAGGTATTTGTGAAAAAAGAGTGAAATTTTAAATGAGTCCGAGTAAAAATTTTGGTTAATATATTTCAAGCCTTTCTGGCCGACGCCCGATAAATTTATTTTAAATAAAATCATATTAAAAATAATAGTCCACAGTTGTGTTTTACTTTCACACCCGCAAATAGGACCCATATCAATCTGTGTCTCCACTCAGAAACAAAAGCCGCCGCTCGCCAATTCAACATTATATAAGTTTCTGAATTGGGATCTCACAATAGCCAGGATGTTGTCGGCAATTAATAGCTCCATTTATACATAACTTATTAAAAACGTTCCTAACAAAACAAATCCAACAAAAACATATAATTAAAATCAGACCTCAGCAATTTTTTAAAAATAGCCAAGGTTTTTGTCGTTTGGGTTTTTAAAATTCGCGAGATTTTTTGTCAGAGCAAACTAGAATTTCAAGCTTTGTCAATATTTGATTTACTCAAAAAAAAGGAAACGATTCCTTACCGTTTTGTTGCAACCACCGACCAAGGTTTAACCACCCATATACAAGGGTTACTGGAATTCAGCGGCATTATGGTATTATCTGGACACAGTAAGCTGTAATCCTCAGGCGTAGCTTCTTGGCCCCCTAGTGTAAACCCAAAATGCTGCCTGACATCTTCCAATCTTGCCCAGCTTATGTCCCCAGCCCCGTCAGTGAGGCATAGTAGTGAGCCTCTTCTGCCCCAATATTTGTCTTGCATTGAACATTTGTTTGAGTCACCGCATAACTCGCACAAATTTGGGTATTTGCGTTCTAAATTGAGTATATTTAAACAAAATTTTTAATTTGTTTGTGTTTACTTACTTAATTGCATATCCAGAATAGGGTTGTTAACCCATGGACCAGCCTTACAAGCGGCTCCAAAAAAATCCGAAGAAGCTTTCACTCGGTTTTCAGTGATGGTTAGATTAGTGGAACATTGCGGAGTGACAACGGAGGCTTCAAAATACTAATGGAGTTTTAAGTTTAGATTTATATTATTGTAAATTGTTTTTGTTGCTTATACATTTGATAAAATCCTAGTCCAATCAGCTTCATAGCCGTAACCGGGATGGCAAAAACGTTTTCCTCTAAGATCGTGTTTGCTGCGTATATGAGCATCATTTAATATTACTGCGACCACTTGGTATTCATATTTGTCTTCTAGAAATTATTATAAATTATGTTATAATTTTCACAATAACTACATTCATAAGCTTACCTCGATCGAAACGAAGTTCGTTGGTAATTAAAATTTCTATTTCTGAATTTGTGGCTGCTACCATGTCTTCGGGTGTGAAAATTCCAAAATCGGCTTTACCTTTTTGGATTCTTCTCAAACAATCTAATCTGGAAACAATTTAACTTTGTAAGAAGTTTTGATGGGAACTATTTAGAGAATATTAATCACACGAAAAAGAAAAAACAATAATTATTTTTGTTATTTATTATTTATATGAGATTTGAACTCTTCAAGGATGACCAGTTTGATTTTACACAACTTTTATGCATATCGTGTTTGTTATTGCTTTATTAACCAATTATGTTGCTTTGGTTGGTTTTTCCCTAAATAAATAAATGAGTCCCCATCAATATATTTGCATTGCATTTTACCTGTCCGAAGCAACCACACATTCGACTTGGCTATCAGGTCCGTCCAGTTTTGGACAATATCTCGTTGATCTTTTCGTTACTTCTTTGCCATCGACTATGCAGATTCTGTCTGAAAATTAAAATTATAAAATTCAACATATTGCAACATAAGTGGTCAGGCTATTAGCTAAAGCTCTTATTAAATTACAAGGCCTCTAATTATTACTTAAATATTTCTTTTATATGTGTGAAACTTTCATTATTATAGGTAATTGATTATCTTGAAGGCAAAAATTATTATTTGTTGTAAGTTTATCATTGTTTTCTAGAACAGTTCTCTAGGTCTTTTGCTCTTTTTTAGAGAGTCAAAGAAGCACAGATTGAATTAAACATACTTAATTAACTTGAACACTATTACCTGATTCTTAATAGGTAGTAAATATTTCTTATCATTTGAAAGTGATTGAGAATTTAGAATTTATTCAGATGATGCTTATTGGGGAAGGATACATATTAGTTGTAGGTACCTACTCAGTTTGGGTTTCTTTGTAGCTAATGTCTTGATACATATGTACATACTATATTTTATAAACAAAATCCTTGCCTAATTTAATAAATACCTAAAAACTTTAAATTAAACTAATTCAGTCTAAAAAGTGGGTGGTATTTTATTTTGAAATAGATACTATTATCACACCAGTAAACAAACTCTGCATAGTAACAAATTATGACTTACATTTCTTAGCGCCATGAACACTCATAAACAAACCCAAAAACAACCAAAGTAAAACACAAAATTTTAAATTAATAAAGCCAGTCATGGTTAAGTTTTGGTATTGGTAGCCGACCACTCACCACACAAAAACAACAGACTAACGGCAAGTCAAATGCGGATAATTTTTCAGATTATGCTACTCTACCAAATCCCGACGAGTTTTTGATTTTGTTGTTGTTTTATTTTTTTTCCATTATCTAGAAGAAGATACAGTGGCGTGGGAAGGTATATACTCTTCACAAAATGACCTATTTGTCGTCCATCAGTTATTATCATCTGTATTTGTTTATGTATCAATAAATTTGTTTTCTCAATAATTAACCGCTAGAGATAATTTTTTGGCTTAGATAACGAAATGTTAGTCAACTGGAATTTGGAGAATGATGGAGTTTTTGATGACGTAAATGAAATGCATCTACACTATACAATGGTCCTTGGATAGAAATAAATGTCTATGGGGGTAAAATCTGGACAGCACTTCAATAGCAAAGATGCACTATCTTGCTGCCAAATTTGCTCGTTTTCAGGTAAATTTATCAGAATTCAAATGAATTTATATAAAAGCCATGAACATTTTGTTGAATGTCAAACAAACGAGTAACTTGGTAACAATCTCAATATTTTATATGAATTTTCCTTTGGCATGCTTTGGCATTGGCAAAGTGTGCACTAGTCCTTCACGGCCCGTAGTTTCATTGTAGAAAATTCTTCCAGATGCTTATTGTAGAAATGCCAAGCGAATGAAAACGAAATCACATACATGTATGGAATATTTTGAAATTAAAGTGATAAATAAGGGAAGGAACGGAAAAAAGATCGAGGTGGTGTGTTGCATGTCACTGATTTCTAGATATAATTTGGTACTGTATAATGAGAAAAACCTATTATGGTACCTTTTTTTGTTCCGCCTCTGTTTGAAATGGTATGTCTAGTAGCAGAAGTACCAATTAATTGAAGGACGTCGACTGGAATGGTTGAAGTACCAAGAAGTAGCTCGGATTTGCCCGTGTCTACGTAAGCGGGGAATTCCTTTTGTATGCTTAGTTAATTGTGCAAACGTGAGTTCGAGGTTAAACTATTCTTAAAAGGTTAAAAGCTTTGAATGTTTTTGCAAAAGTAGTTAATTGAACGAGACAGGAAAAAAATGTTACCGTAAGTGCAGGAAGAAGAACCAGTATGTTACAACTAGAATGACTAATACATTTCTATCAAGTATTTAATCACTCATAAACTCCATTTCATTAGACAATCGCGAGGACCAAAAACACAGAGGCCTCATCAGAGGAATCTTTCGATTAGAAAGAGGGATCAGAACTTGAATCCCTTACAGAAATCTCTAGAGAAATTTCTGTAAGAAAAGTGTTTGGGGTTTGTGTAAGACAAGCAGTACGAGTATTCATAATTCGCCTGTATGAACGATGGATCAAGATCAAGTCATCGGTAATCGGAAAGAAATCCTAGCTATATAGGTAGTTCAAAACTTCTCTCAAGAGCTGTATAGTTCTAGAGTAGGTACCATATATCGAAAATTCGAAATCAGCATCAGGATGCGAGTATCACAGTACCAAATACACAGCAAAAGAGACGCTCAGGCGAGAATAGTGAAATAATTAAAATAGGAGGCAAAGCCTCGCTGAAAGGATTTTTGAAATACATGGATGCTTTTCAAATATTTATATTGCAAAGTGCTCTGAACTTATTCTCGACTTATTGCAGGCGACTTATTGAATTAACTACTTGTGAAAAAATGTGGAGATTTAAAGACCCATGGTATGTTTTCAAAAACTGAAACTAGTCTGGCTGCCAAATGAGAAAATGGCCTTGGACCTTGAGTTGCTTGAAACACTGAGCACTATAAGATAGCTATTGTTGTGAGCAATAGATGGATAGAAAGTATCTAGTTTTATTTAAGTTTAATTACAGAATATTTACAAAAGGCATATCAGATAACAGATTATTCAGAGTCGAAAGTAGACATTTCACTGTCACTGCCATCAAGCTTTACAAGGCAGACCTACATGTGCACAACTGCACCTTGCTGTTGAATATGGCTTCTCACTAACAGCTGCATCCTAAACTTTTCAGCAATTCTGATGGTGCCATCCCTTTTTTACTTGGAAGTTGTATGGGTACTAAAGAGTGTGTTGCTTCATTCTTTGCCCATCCATAGTCAGTTGAATTCGAGGGTGGAGGGAACGAAGATGCTGCTGCGTTTCAAATGCAAGCTTGCAAATGGCATCGTTTTATATGTAGTTCAAATGCCTCTGTTGTCGGAGGGAGTTTCTTAATTTTAGGAGGAATTTTCTTAGATAACCACACTTTATCGAACATCTGACATGCTGTGAACTTCCTTCTTGTAGCCGTAGCAATGTCCATAAAGCTTGTACACTCTGCTATTCATTGTTGCATTGAAGATTCTACACAACCTAAATGACATTCCAAAAAATTGTGAAGTGCTATCACAGCCAGTGAGACAATGCACTGCTAACAATGAGTTTACTTGGGATCCCAGAATATAAACTTGCTGCTATATCTGAAAATTTGGCCTTATCAACAGACTCTATCCACATAGCGCATTGGAGATTTATCTTTCTGTAAAAGTATACAAGCAGAACAAAAACGTCAGTGTCATCAGATAGAATCTTATTATTGTTCGTTGCACAACTTGACAGACGAATAGCCTGCTGTACAATTATAACGTCTGCTTCTACATGGTAAGTTTCCAAATCCGCGCGAGGAATTATAATGCCAGGAGTTTGTAATTCAATTGGGATTGTATCAGTACCAGTAATGAACAACTTGTGTGGAAGAAACTCACTATGTTGTAGTAGTTGATTACAAATTATGGTTGTTATTTGTATTTTTTTGTATGAATGAGTCAATATACTGTTGCGACTTGGAAGAGGTGTGTCTGCTCTTAGTTGCATGGAAGTACTGTTAACTCCTCTTTTCGACCGCGTTGCACTCTTTCGACTGTACTCGAAGTACTGTAGTATAACATACCCGGGTTCTTCAGCAAGATTGAACAGTGAGAATTTTTATTACCTTTTAAACAACAAATGTTCTGAAAAACGAAATGAAAAACAAATAGTACCTACGTTGTGGAGACTTACTCAATTATTGTACTTACTGGAAATGCGCCCGACATAGCAAATATTTGGGAAATTTAAGGGAAGCTGCGATATGTAGAAGAAATGAAAAATTTGTGAAACGTCTACTTTATAATTAAAGTAAATCGTACCGTTCTCATCCTGGAACTAACGGAGGGAAAGAGCACGGCAGAGAAAGCCTCGATCTAACATTCCTCAAAAATCGAAACATACTGTGTCATTTTTATGATAATTGTGAGTCAATGATTCAATAATTTAAGTCAATAAAAGTTTAAATTAGGTACCGCCCCTGTTCTTGTGCTAAAATTTCAATTACACACACTACATTCAATCAACACTACCTAAATTCAATAATGAAGAGTTTTTTGGTTAGTTAGCCAGTTTCTCAGCAGGTACTGAGGTCCCATACGGGAAGCTACTCAACACTTAAACAACACTGCAGTAAGTTCAGAAGTAATACCTAAAGTATTAGTTTGGTCTTTGTCAAAATACACGTTACAAAGAAAGAAGGAACAATTAATTCTGAACTGGCCCCTGAATAAGAATATGACGCAAGCCCGTAACAAACTCGCTTCTCATTGGACGCTCACCTGCAACTCACGAGTTGCGCGCGCAGTCAAGGTAAAAAAAGATAGGTCAATTTGCTATGATATTCTCTCGTCAAGGTAGGAAAATGTTAGTAAATTCAACAAGGCCCTAATGCATGCTCTAAATACAAAAATCAAAATTCTAGCACAAAAGACAGCACATAATTTCTTGGGTTTTTTAAATTTATTTTTTATCTGTGTTGTTTACAGCATAAAACGATTTTCGTTAAATACATGAACAATGCACGTTATAAAAAAGTGTTATAAACAAGCAAAAAAACATAAAAATGGGAAAATAATAATACTTGTATAAATTGAACTCTCAAAAACAAAATAACAATTATTTAACTGACCTGTGATCGCTCCTTGACACACACACTAATCACAAATTGGAGTGAACAATTAGTTTAATACAAAATAAAAATAAAAATTAAATAATGAACAATTACAGATACGCGTCTAAGGGACCAGCCCAGCTTGTTCTCTAGTCTAGTTGCGTATTCTCTACCTACCCTTCGCTTCGGTACTCTTCTGTTGCGGCGCGTCCCGTTCCGTAGAACTCCACGGCGCATACAAGGTTGCAACATTTACTTTTATTCACTAAACTTTTTTTTAAGCTAAGATTCAAAGAAATAATATTTTAAATAGGTGGTTTTCCTCAGTACCTACCTATCAAATTCAAGAAATCCTGTTTTTCAACGTGCTTCATGATCACTGCAATCACATTGTCAATATAAGTTTGTATTGTGCCAACTATATATTTCAAGTTGCCCAAAAGTGCCACTCTGGCACCCCTCGTATTATGATTCAGTGTATCAAATAATACTAGAATCAATCATAAAACTTTAATTGTACCCTACTTCCAAGTCACATGGCTTGGCGACCCGACTAAACTGGTAATACCATTGCATCATCAGCAACAGAGCGAATGAACTTGATCATACTTAAGCAAATCATGTTTGAAATAGACATGACAAAAACCAAAGTAATGAGGTCAGGATATATCCATATCCATTAATAATTAACTTATTGAACACCTTTCTAAATACATTTAATTACTTCATTCATGGTAAAGAGAACCTCATGCGATTTCCAGAAAAATACTTTTTCCATTAGCAGCTTTGGAAGAGCTGGAATTTATTTCCAAATCCCAGAAGTTTTCTATACACATCCATAGAAAAGGTGTTTGAATCATGTTGTTTTTTGAAACAATTTTATTAAGAATGACAGAGAGACTATACAAACAAGGCGGATAGCGTTGGAGAGGGTTTAATTCAGATCAAAGAAGAACTGAAGTGACTGAAAGTACAAGAGATAGTGGCAAAGAGGTATTAAAGTAAATCCTAGTTTCGCAAATAAACGGATCGCTGGTAGATCCCAGAATCTATGGAAAGACGATATCCTCAGGTTGCAATGAGGGATTTTGAGTCCGACGTTTTCGTGTGTTATTTTTAATAATTCAACTATCATTTTTTAATTTTTTTCCAATTCTCTTTGACTGCTGCTTATGAAAAGAAGATGGTTTGAACGTCTTTCGTCGATACTCGATCCCTTGTTCATTCCAGTGTAACTTCTTCTATTGGTGGCAAACAAATCTGGGTAAATAGTGTTGAAGTTGGTTTGGTCCTTGGCTGATGTTTGTAAGGGTAAGCGTGACAAGGTTGATCGGTTCAAATTTTTTCCACTTTCAGTTGATCCCTTTTTTTGGGAATAATAGAATAGTAGTGATAGCTCGTGGGTTTCGCCAAGAACTAGTTAACTTGATGTCCTTTAGTGACACTTTTATTTTATCAAGTGAAACTTCCGATGAATCCAATGTGAACATAGTTTTAACATTTCGCTAAAGATACCGTCTTCAATAGTCATTATGGTTTTTCCAGCTACCACTTGGTTGATTTGTAGAGTTCATTGACTTAAGTAGGTTATACAACTCACTGTACATTATTTCCATATGACACGAGAGGCTTAAAAAGTGATAAGCCTTTTGGGATTATCGCGCTTGGTGGCATTTATAGCAAATTCTATTATAGAATTTTTTTTAAATTTTAAAGTATTAAA